TTCAAGCTTTGTGGCCATGGAGACTTTTCATCAGAACATTAAGGGCTACAACATACATCAATTTGAGCGAATTTAACCGAGGGCCACTTCCCATAAGGTTTGTGCGGGGTCCTTTGATTTTTTTCTAAAATAAATAGTGCGAAAATTATCCTTTTAATTATTTTTAATATTTTCACATTACTATTATTATTTCTATTAAACTAAAAAGTAATTTTTACAAAAGAAAGAAGGATGTATAAACATGTATTGACATATTTCATATAAAATTATGTATTTATGAATATTTATATATGTTTATGTATGTTTATACATATTTATATACATATTCATGCGTTACAAATTTTTTACAGAGTTTATACGTACAGAAATTCAAATTCTATAACCTTATATTTAACGTAGGTATATGCACAGACGAACAGTAATGCATCTCAATAATTCTGATTGGTTGATCCCCACTCTTACTTTTCCGAGATTCCGTTTTCCGAAATTTCGACTGTCATGAGACAGCACCCTAAGCCGTCAAGTCGTAAGAAATTAACCAACCACATTCGATTATTATTCTCATATTCATCTGTGATTGGTCAATTTCTTAATGGCCTTAGTCTGTTCTACAATAGGGTCGCAAGCCATAAGCCGCAAGAAATTAACCAATCATAGTCAATTATTTGTTTCATATTCAACTGTGATTGGCCAAATTCTTGCGGTTTGCGACTCATTGTAGAACAGGCATTATGGTATATCCACACAACTTGCATAGCTACATAAACGTATGCACAAAGAAAATTATTCAATATTTTGTTTCTCTTCTTCCAGACCCCTGTATGGATTTCCGACCTTTTCAATATTTTTCTTATAAAGACGCACGTAAAATGTGATTGAATAATTTTTGTTATGCATACGTTTATGCGACGATGCAAGTTTGTGTGAATATACCCTTAGCTCACAATGCTCGACACTTGACGCTCCTTTGTAAAGATGCCTTTAATTGATATTGAACACGTGTTCACAGCGCATCCTCATATCAGTACATTTAACTGCATTCCACTAAGGCTCGGTTGCGCCAATGTTTAATATGTATTTTAATTTTAAGCGAGGCTTAAAACTCTCTTTGTCCCTGTCTCTTTTCGGTTTTAAAACGAGATAGAGTTTTAAGTTTCGCTTAAAATCAAAGTAACATTCGTGTAACCGGGCCTTAAAGATACATACAATTTCATGGTGTCGCTTGTCGCAGCGATAAATAATCACGTGAATTCTCTCAATTTGTCCACTTTCTTGTCACCAGCGACATTGTTGAAAAGTTCGATTAATCCAATTTTTAGCGACATCACTCTTACGCAAAACATGGAACAACTGGATGTGAAGCCGGCGGCACACGATGCTTGTTTTCCTGCTGGATTTCTAGATGGATTAGAATCTTGCCATCGTATTGGCTGCGATGCTGGCACTATCGACAAGTGGCAAGATTCTAATCCATCTAGCAATCCAGCAGGAAAACAAGCATTGTATGCCGCAGGCTTAAGTATAATAAAGGTATTTACCACATAAACTTATAAGATAGACGGAGCTTCATACGAGAGGAGCTGAAGACAACATTGAAGGACAGCTGTACTCCAGACATAGTTGTTTCCCTCTTTCACAGTGAGCGGTGGGAGATCAATTAGCTTGAGCGTAAGGCCACAACTCTCGAACGTGGCGACCAATCAATTCACTACTAGAAAATAAGAAAACTACTCGGCGACTGTTTCTTTCTCTTTCTATCACGTCTTCAGCTTCTCTCGTACGAATGCTCCGTCTATCTTATAAGTCTATGATTTACCATAGGCTGGATTTTCATTTGACACTACGACGCTCATTTTCAGAGTCAAAACAGGTCACGTGATCGAAATTGACGCTTGATATTCGTCAATTTTGATTACGTGACATGTTTTGACGTTGAAAATGAGTGTCGTAGCGTCAGATGAAATCCAGCTATAGACATAAGATAGACCCATCCATAAAATTTTCTATACTATGCTAGGTTTGGCAGAATGGTGCGAGAGGCAAAATATCGGGACAACCCATCCTCCTTTGCACGCGTATCTTGACATTTATATCACTGAAAAAAAAAAAAAAATAAGATATAAAAGTAAGGGTAATACTCAAAAATTCTACCATCCTCACCGATTTTGATGAAATTAAAGTAAAAAATATTTATTCTAGCCTCACTTACATGTTCTCATGTCTCTATGCCATCGATGTGACAGATTTCCTAACCTGGAATAATCGTTAACTTCAGTGATTAATATCTTAGTCTATGGGGTAGAGCGTCACTTTTTTTTGCCAGATTTGTTCATTTCGTTCAAAAACGCATCAGATGAGTCTAATTTCGTCAAAATCAGTGAGGAAGGTAGAATTCTTGAGTATTATCAAAGTAAGTTTACTGTCAGGATGCGCGCATAGAAAAGGATAGGTTGCTCTGATATTTTGCCTCTCGCACACTGAACTATATAACACTGGAATAGGCGTCGAAAAAAATTCGTGGTCGCAATTGATCAGCCGCTATTTTGATTTGATGTGGTATTTGAGCGAATCAGAAGCGTTCGCGCTCTGAGTCTCGGCACTAGGTTCGGGATCCACTCAGGAGTCGGGAGCAGTATAATGAATAAACTTCTCACGTTTTGTAAATACCTGATATATTACACTTCATCAAAAAATCTCAATTCTTCGAGAAGGTTTTCCTAATCTCTAATCTTATTACACTGCGCGTGTCGCGGAGATAGTTACGGACAATGGTCCGGCAGAATAACGAGCTATTGCGTTTAAATTCAATCTGACTCTCCCTCCCATCGGTGATTCGGTATTTATCCCGCGTATTGAGGCTTGCGGCCTTACTGATTCGGCGCTTCCTTGTCAGCATTCTGGTAATAGGTCGAGGTCGGTGATCGCGCATGATCTTCCCTGTTTTATTATTACTTATATTATTAATACCTTTTATTCCGCTTGTTCGTAGTGCAATTGTCACTTGTGCAATTTAGCACTCGTGACAGAATTTAGCGCGCGTTGCGATCGATGTATCGATCTATCGATGTATGGAAATCTATATGGACATGAATGGTATATAAACAAAAATAATGTCACTTTAATTATTTTTACCTATGAAATGAAAGGCCCTTTTTACTTCTCTACCCACACCCAGGCATACAGCACTTTTCATGTTAATGCTTTGTAGAGACGATTTTATAATCCTTCAAATATAATTTCACATACAATAATCTTGCTGACATATGCGTCTTCTTTTTCGCGTGAGAATATGCAGAATACGAAAATCTAAAAGTAATACAAACTCAATTGCGCATTTGAAGGCGGTCACACTTTCCAAAAATAATGACGCAATAACACGTCCGATCACGCCGGTAGACGATCACCAACGATCACCGTCCCATATGCCATATGCGTCTTACTAAAGAACACTAAACGTAAGTGCGCATGAGCATCTAAAAGCTTCTGATTCGCTCAAATACCACATAAAATCAAAATGGCGGCTGATCAATTGCGGCCACAATTTTCCATGCATTACAACGGAGATGCCCATTCTATTGTATATATAGTTCAGTGCTCTCGCACCGTTCTGCCAAACCCAGGTATATATATAGCTAATACTGGGTCTATCTTATATATCTATGGTATTTACCAAAGACAATAGAGAATGGACTGCGCGATCCGTGTGTCAAAATGGTCGATAGGGATGAGAGAGAGGGACCGTGGTAGACGGCCATTTCTATCTCTTTCCATTCAATGGTGTAATGGGAGAGAGAATGAGAGGGAGATTGACCGTCTCCCACGGTCCCTCTCTCTCATTTTTGTTGATCACATTTGATACACTATTTAGAAACGGATCGCGCAGTCCATTCTCTATGTCTTTGATATTTACTTAGCTATATTTACTCTAACAATAAGTTATATTTCAAAACATCCTTTCCGAGGAAAATTATACTCGAAATATATAGGATATGTAACGTACCGTAATTTCATACAACTATGGTCCTACACCACAACTATGGTCCAAACACTCGCACGCACGACAATCCCGATACGTAGATATAATAAGTAGATATAATTGTAGAAATATTAATTAAATGTAAAAACACTAAATTACCTGTCATGTAGACCAGCGAGAACACAGAATAGCTTGTCGTGATAACCGACGGTCGACAAAGTTTGCAGATAACGAGGTTAGTTGCCAACTTTCTCGACCATCGGTTATCATGACAAGTTATTCTGTGTTCTCGCTGGTCTAAATGACAAGTAATTTAGTGTTTTTACATTTAATTAATATTTCTACAATTATATCTACGTATTATATCTACGTATCGGAATTGTCGTGCGCGCAGGTGTTTGGACCATAGTTGTGGCGTAGGACAATAGTTGTATGAAATTATTATACTACAAAATTTCGAGTAGAATTTTTCTCGGAGAGGACGTTTTGGAATGTAGCCTTAGAATGTGGATGTCATTGCAAAACTTGATACAAAATATACTCATTCGATATGTTCCATTCGAAATGAGAGAATGTAAAAAAATGTGACAGTTAACTTTATGAAGTAACTACTCAGGTTAGGAAAACGAGTTTTCTTTACTTGAAGATTTTTTTATTCGGACCGACAAGAATTAAACACTAAATATAAGCGTATTCAGGCCTATGACGGTTAAAGCTAGATCTTTTTTGCCTAAATAATTTCCAGTGAATTATCTATATCCTATATATGTGCATGCATATATATCATATTTTTGTAGTTATTCAAACTGTGCGCCGAAATTTCTCCGGACTTTATCTAACGCAATTAAACTACTGCAATAATATCACAAGTTAAATTAAATTGACAATGTGCTGAAAACTTTAAATAAATTTATTACGAAAAATATTACCTCGGCCGGGACTTGAAACCGGATCTCTTTATTAAGGCCTCGGTGATCTAATGGCTTACGACGCTCGTACGGAATACAAGAGATCCGGGTTCAAGTCCCAGCCGAGGTAATATTTTTCGCAATAAATTTATTTAAGGTTTTCAGCACATTGTCAATTTAATTTAACTTGTGATATTATTGCAGTAGTTTAATTGCATTAGATAAAGTCCGGAAAAATTTCGGAGCGCAGTTTGAATAACTACAAAAATATGATATATGCATGTACATACACCAGGTATGTAAATATGAAACCGGAATTTTTTAATAGAAAACACACGTTTATTGCATGAAAATGATAAATAATATTTTATTCGAAGTATTGCCCATCGTTAGCTATACATTTTTCCCATCTGTCTGACAATTTGTGGATGCCACGGCAAAAAAA